AAACATTAATACCTACCAACCGTAAGAGTTGTTTATTTTTTTAAATCTATTTTCGTAATCGACTCTTACTCTAGTAAATCGCATCTATTGACCAAATAAAAAAAAGACAGTACATTTTGACCAAAGCAAGTGATACCGGAAAAATGATTGTTTCCGATTAATCGATTGATTCAGCAATAGCTGCCAAATCACTGTTCACGTGACGCACTCGACGATTTGAATTTCGATGAAGCGAACGCTGCGATATTAGATTTAGGTGAGACTGCGATAGTTGGAGCAACACTTCAAAACTACGATCGTGATAAACATAGATATCATAAAATAATGTACTATAGATTATACAGTATTGGCAATAATGAATATATTGTTGATAAAGAATTCATTCGATTTGTGCTTTCATCTGATTATTTTATCGATTGTAAATAATTACTTGAATATTGATCGATAAATCGATTCAATAAGCAAAAATAGGACATTTGAAATAAAAATTAGTGTTATATTATTTGTTGTTAGAGAAATGTTTATTTTTTGTTTATGTAACATAACATGGCAAACAAGCTGACAGTCCACCTAACAAAAAGTGGTAACCATCGTCTATAGACTTTAAAAACACTAGAACATATACACATATACATTATGAGTCTCATAGTATATAAACCTCATTTGTTGCCATTCGTGAGGACCATTGAGGTGAGGGTATTTTCTGTACCCTGTTATCTCAACCCTATATCCCATCTTTCAAACGGAAACACGACCGTGCAATTCATAGCTTAATACAATTGACAAATCATCCGAACCAAAATCTGTATAGGCTATTTATTTCATCAAAACCCATTTTAGCATTCCTTTGTTGTAACTAGGTAGGTACTGGATGTTCTTGAAACGCAGACTGTCTAGACTCGTGTCATTACAATAAACCTCTTAAGATAGATTAAGGCACTTAAACAAGGTCACTGACACTTTATTAAAAATAATTTCATGTTTTTAAAATAATAGTCATAAATGATAGACTATTATACTAATTGCTTGATCTATTTAAGATATTCAGTCTAAGGAAGAAACTAGACAATAAACATATACAATAGGGCAAGTAACAGTAAATTTAATATCAATTTTGAAAAGTATATATGCAATACTGTCTCGACCGGGAATCAAATACGAAACCTCATTAGCGTAAAAAGCAATCTCTTTCCATTTTGCTACGCTTTAATAAAGCTAATTACTATGAATAGTTATAGTAATTATGTATTGAAATAAAGTTCTGCAAATTCGGTGTCTTGATTCTTAGATGATGTCATTATAATTATTTTTGCCAAGTTTCATAAAATTAGGTCTAGTTTTGAAAATAACTGTATAAAATACTGACATTTAACTATAATTAACTGTATTTAAATAGAGCACTAAAAAGTTGGCTTATTAATACCAGGTTATAACATCGCACTGTGTTAAAAATTAGAAAAAAGAAGAAAAAAGCTCACTTCTAAAGCCTACGTACGACTCCACGTGGCTTCATAATAAACTCGTTCAAATCCAAACAGACGGCCAACTCCGAAACTAGCAAACGATCAACAAAAACAAAGGCTCGTGTACCAAGCAACAGGTACCTCCACGTACAACAAATATACAGCCCAGGGCACGTACACACTGAGCGAACAACGTGGCATAGACAAGGTATTATGCACCCAAACATCCCGCAAACTGGCTGTGTAACAAAATCTTTCAGGATATTTATTTAGTCTATGCAAATGAAATTCCACATGACTCATAAGTCACAAGATTCGAAATTCCAAATTTAAATTCAAATACCTAATCCTGCGCGACGAATTTTAGTAACCATGATCGGAATTTAAAATTTAAAAGATTTATGTTGAATTTAAAATTTGTATTCAGAAAAGAATTCCTGTAAATTGTGTTATTGTTTTATTCGATATTGAGGTTTGTAATATTGTCCTTCAACCTTCCAACAATGAGAAGCGGCTTGTGTCGACGAGAATGAACTTCCCGCCTATTGAATTTTCGCTTACAAAGGAAAGTTTTCAGGAAGCGTTCCGGGTCACTAGCTCTGCAGTTTCGTTTTATATTTAAGTGTAACTTTGACGAAATTGTTAAAAGGGAATGGAGTATTCAATTAAAGTTTTAAACCCCTCGATCCGAGCTTTTGTGGATGAATTAACTATTTATAACTTCCCTACGTTAAGTTTGCATTACGTGTGCACTTTTTGTTTAAATGAAACGCATGCATAGTAAATGGGTAGTGTTTTTAACACTCTTAATAAATTAATTTTATGTGTAATTTTATAAAAACGCGATACTGGCCAGCTACGAAAAGCGTTGGAAACTAATTAAAAACATCAATTCCGAGCGCTACGCTACGGGGGAATATTTCAAACTCACACACACACGGTTAACCCCATGCACACATCTGCGCGTAAGACGCACACAACAGTTAAAAATAAGTCCCGGGCCATATCCGCGTGAGAGAATGGTCCCGTTATCATAGAAAGCCAAAACAAAGTATCTGCCAAATTAGGAACTACCTTTGAACAAAACTGAAATATCTGATCCGTTTATTTATTATTATAAATTCGTCAATAAAACTTGATGATCAGACAATTGGTGTGATTATGTGACATTTCATTACTATTGTTCATCCATTTATTTCATATCCACAGTCATTAATAATAAAATTTACATTCTTACAGACATTAATAAAATTCTCGTAATAAATACAATTTTAAAAATTATAATTATTCACTTCATTTTATATCTTATGTTAAAAAATACTATCATTATAAATGAAAATAATTTTCAGTTGAAATTCAAACTTTATATTGATGAATTAAAGAGTAGTGAAGTTATTTATGTTTATAAACAGTAAGTCCCATTATTTTTAACAACTACTGTTATATACGAGTATAACATGATTTTGGAAGAAATCATTTTATATCAGTTATCTGGTTGTTGATGTGAACGGTTGCCCAGTTCTAGAACTTATCCGGGGGGAGACGGGGATAGCTGGGTGTCTTAAGGCGGAGCGGGACGGAATGCTGAAACCGAGTTATCGTAAATTGATCTGGGGCGGGGTGGCGCGCCAGGGTGGCGGCGACGCGGTTCCAAATTTGACAGCGATGGAAATTGGCGGGAAAGATTATTGGTTGCATCGCGTTCAATTTTTTTGTTTTAAAGTTTCGAATTCGCATACATTTGTCTCGACGATACATACTGTTGACTGAATGTGAATTGAAATATCAAAGTTAAATTTGGAATTACAATTACGTAATTCGTATTTCTGTAGAGTAACAAGCATATCTGGGTCATGTAGGTCATGAATAAGGAAAATTTTAATAAATTCATTTTTTCATTACATGACAGTCTTCTAAGACGCTATTGTAGTTTCCAATAGGCTAGATAGCTTTAGATATGTTACATACTTATTTGCGAGTGAACTCCTTTGTGTCTTAGACGTTCCTAGCTCACGTTCGAGCGGTCTCATAAAAGCGTACACACACCAACATCTTAATAACAGAATCCGAACGCTTCGAGCGATTTTAAAATAAGAATATCATAACTGGCCACTGGGAGGTAGGGGGGTGGATTTCGGAAGAACGTTCGCACTCCTCTCAAGTTTTTAAAATAAGAAAATTTCGGTGGAGCGTGATATTTTTAAAATAAGAACCTCTTTCGTGGCATATTCCGTGGAGAGAGATTTTAAAATAAGAATAGTTTTGCAATACCCCCCGCTCCTTCGTCTGGAGTTTGAAATAAGAATTTGGGGGCCAGATTCGGGTGGTTCGGGCATATTCGGTGGGTGTTGGGGTGTTCCTTGATGAGAACGGAGGTTTTTCGTAGAATTTCGTTAGCTCCTTTCGCCGAGGTCATTGACCGTCGGAGTCGATACTTGTTCGATGGATGTTGTACTAATTGGTTTTCAGTTTTTATTTGTAAGATGTTTGTACAGGTTTCGTCTAGTCTCACTGTTGTGTTTCCAGTATCGTTATCAGTTCTAACTAATGAAATTTGTATTTCAGAGACGACGCTTTTCAAAGTGTTGTGTTAGCAAATATAATTTGGTTTCAGCTGTGAAACTCGTTATATGATTATTTTCATGCCGTCCACAGGATGTGCTGAGGTTGCATTTTATTAGATTAGTTCCTTCAAATCTATATCGTAATAGAATAGTTAACTTACCTGAAACTCAAAAAAATATTTTTATAAATAAACTAAGTACAGTCAGAAACAAACTTTGGCTTAATTGAAGTCGTCCCTTGGCATACCTTTCTGGGTATCTTTGTTCCCTTCGTGTTTGTACAGTGATGCTTTTAATTATTTAAGAGTGGGCTATGTTAATGAAATTGTAGGATACAGAGGCGTAGCATCTTAGTCCTGAAGAAGGCTTTAATAATACTATGGGCATTATCATGTATTTATTTATGTAACTTGAATGGCAAATAAACTGACGGACCACCTAATGATAACTGGTAACTATGGCCTACAGAGTATATTATGTCACCCGTGATAACTTTCATGGTCTGTCTTTCGTGAGAACTAGGGTGTTATATCACCGTACCTTGTAATTTCACTGTCATATCCCATCCTTCAAACCGAAATACAGCCATGCAACTGCTTCATGGCAGAATCACGAATCGGACAAAGTTACCCAAGCAGATGACTTTTATACAAAATTTATTTAGTATTCTATCATATCTATTGGGCTTTTAATATTAAATTACATATTATTAAGTGAAAATATAATATTAAATTATTATTATATGCAAAATTAGCGATCCCACTCGGCTTCGTATAAGTAAACAGAATTTTCATAAATCAATACATACACCTAATAAAAAAAGTTTCAGCTCATTGCATGTACAGATAGCGAACAGTTACGAATTTATTATATGTATTGATTGATTGATTATCACTTTATATCATCCCCGGAAGCTTGTTTGCTATTCTAAGTTTAATAAAAAAATAAATCTGAATATACTTTTATGTTGTAGGGTTGCCGCACGTATGCCATGGCGGAGTGCTCGTTCGCACGCTGCCAACAAGAACGTCGCGCGATTCGTAAAGAACTACAGCGTTGGACCAAGAACATGGTCTACATACTCGGTAAGTAATACCGTTGCCTTTCAGCCAAATTGCTTTTCAGAACTCATTTCCGACCTCCATGGTGCAGTTTCAGACGTTTCTTTACGCAGATGAAGTCCCGAGTTGGATCCCTGTTTAGATCAAAAATCGCGTATACTGAGCAGCGTTGCCAGATGTTAATCACCTGGTACACTGTACCATGCACCTTAGATAGAGAGCCAAGCAAATATTCTGATTGTGAGTCACTTACAGCAAAAATTTTAACGGCACAAAAAAGTTGTAGCATGGTAAGTCAGAATGAAGTAAAATCAATTGAACTATCATGAGCAATTTATTATGATCACCATCGCCTATCATAGCCACAACCATGATGTTTTCCAGGAGAGACCGCTTGAATGTCGACTGGATAGAGTATATTGCTACAAATAAGTCCGTTGGTTCCTATTACAATACTAGTGCATACATAGCACATTCAGACTAAACAATATTTGCATTATTCCAAAAAAAGATGAACGCGCTTTAATCTTGACCCAATTAAAGACTCGATGGTGAATTTTGAATTAAGAAAACATCATCACTAACGGTTCTAAATCTGTGAAGATATCATGTATCATACATATAGTGAAACAAAACAAATACGGCTGTATTGAGAAATTTTAAAGTCATTTCAAAAGTTGGTGACCTATCTCCATCTTGATAGGTTTAGGTTGGATACCTATCAAAAGATTTTTTTCATTTGAAGTCCATAAAACATATGCAGCTTGATGCACTCTTGTATTTGTTTGTGTTTACGGCCTTATTGCGTCAGTTTAGGGTTCCGCAGTGAAACGAAACTCCGTCCAGCTCGAGAAGTGTTTATTGCGTAAAGTTTGGTCTGAAAACATTTGGAAGTCTGATAACTTGTTGTTTGTACTGGAAACTCGTATAGGCGGGAGTGTATGTACATGTATATTAAAACTTGCATGATGATAAAATATGTATCTAATGCTATAGTTCTTTTTTGCAAATGAAAATGGCATGGTAGATACACCGTCGGTATTATTTTACGCTGGCCGATAACCAATAGCGCAAGCCGGTGAAATTCCATTTTTAAAAATGTGTCCTTTAATGAAATCTAGTGATCTAGTACTTTTTGTTTGTAAATAAATCACGTAGAATTGCATGGCGTAAACAACCTTAAGGGACTGAAACCACCGTTACAAAAAATTACAAATACTAAACATCCGTATTAAAATATTGACCTTAAGAACTGTATTCTCTAAGGTGAAGCCATTAGATTTGACCATATTGACTACGAAATTAGGATGGTTTTTGTTTTTGATGCTCTTTCACATAGACCGGCTCGAAGAAAAGAATAGATTTTGACCGCGTTTAAAATAGCTTTTGGTTATTGAAATAAAGTTTATTTATTTCATATGAAACGGATTAGGTTGGCTCTTGAGGATTCTTATATAATAAAAGAAATTAAAAGTCAAAATAAACCATATTTTAAATAAGGTTTATTGTTTTTGCAACTAAACTCTGCTCTTCTCTCCGAGCCAGTCTGTGTAAACGAACACTTAACTTTTCATTGTGTGTTATATAATGCAGTTCATAGACTAGTCTAGTACAGTCCAGTTTGAGGGGAAAAATTAATATATCGATCACTGTCTCTCCTCTACAAAATTCTTCATTAGACATTGTACCAAAATCAATAATTTATGAGGTAATTGGATCTACTTTCAATGTAAGTTATAAAAAAGATTAGTCACGGAGTTCATTCAGTGATCACAAACACTATCAAAGTATCAAAAAGACAAGTACAAAAATAATGTCGGAGAATTTGTTACAAACGACGTTTTGTCAGTCGTCACAGTCATTAATGCAGGTTTACATTTGGTTAGTTACTGACTAAAATTCGAAACAGCTTTTGTGTGTCGCAGTAACTTGTAATATCATTATTTGCACTAACCTGCTGGTGGAATTTTAACGCAATTGTGTTGGTAAGATTATAATTAAATCGAAAACCGACTTTCTTTCAAATAAACGTTAAATAGTAAATGTAATATCCAAATAACGTAGACAACTTCTATGGCGCAGTAGTGAGCACGTTTTTTTATGTAAATAAGATCCCGGATTCTAGGTCGGGTCAATTTAGGAAATAAAATTTTCTGAATCCACTCGGATTTGGGCGTTTTGTTGTGGCGCCAGATATTTTTTGCCTGGTTTCTTATATCGCGAACTATTTTACCTTAACTAGAAGGCTTACCATGAAATGTTTTCCAAAATTTCAGAATCAAACAAAACACAAATTATATGTTAAAATCACATGATAAGTACTGTTTAAAAATATTAAAAATGTTAAAATATCATCTTTTATGGTAGGATTTATGATGAACGAAAATTTAAGCTTCTTTTACTGGGTCGCTTTCAGTATAAATAAAAACACGTAATTAAGTCCGAAAATTTGTAATTTCATTTCATTGTTGACCCCCTGGTGATTGGTATGATTATGCACACGTTTGTTCGATGTGATACCAGATTGATTGCGTCAACGTCAGCTAGCTTTCTCCAGTTTGGAACAGGTAACTCTTCCAATGTAAACCTGCACTTGTGAGTGATAAAATTTTTGTATTATCGTAAATACAATTTGGATGTGCAACTGATAAGGCTCTGCGGTGTGGATCGCGTTGCGCCTAATTCCGTACGCTTGGAGGTCGAGAGTTGCAACCTTGCGTTCCACAATGGTTACACTTTAGTTCCGCCTTCTGGAATTTGTACACCATTTATTGTTTATTTAACATTTTGTTGCATATGATAGTTACATGTTAATTGATTGGTAATTCTTTGGCTAATTGTTAATTATTGATTTGAATTAAATTTGTTAGATATATATAAGGAAAACTAGGTGTAGTAAACGGAACTCTCAGATTACAACATTTACCTAAAAATGTCTATGTTACCTTCTTGTCTAGCATTACAGTCATGAGTATATATATTTTTATTAATGTATATTTCTATAACGACGTGGCGTAATGTAGTCATATCTAATTAAAATACTGTAGACGTTTAACTTAGCATTTTACTTGGGTTTACATATTGCACTTTGCATATTACATAGATATACATATAGTATCTTACAAAAGAGCAAATATATTTAAGTGAATTATATTCTTGTAATGCTGAACATATATTTTGAATGCATTACGACTACCATAACAAACATTATAAATATTTATAATCATATGTGATCTAAATTTGAAGATTTCTATGCTAATATCTCTGGTTTGCGTTGCTGCATTTGATCAGTTCTTTACTATTTTACGTTAAATCTTACGATATTTCGTATCTATTACACTACCACCTCTTAAAACCCAAATACAATTATGATCAAAACGGCAGTGCGTAACTTCCGTGGCCACTGTGGCGAGGTGCATCGGTCGGCCGCAACGCGCAAGCGCCCTGCAGCCGCTCCGCCAAACAACCTGTTGCAACTGGGCCGGCGTGCACAAATGCAACTACTCTCGTCCGCAATCAGGAGCAAAATTGTATTATCTAGCCGCGTTTCGGCTCAATTTTGGCATAAACAAATTCCAAATTCAAAATCCAAGTGCAACATTTCAAATTTGAACGTTACAATTATAATTTAAAATTGTAGCCCTATCCGCTAGCTGTTTCTTGCAAATGCGTTCAATGTCTTGAGACTTTTAAGACGCTTTAGTGAAGTGCAGTGAGAATTGATTAAAACAGGTGCTCCAGATTGATTGTATATTTTATAAGTATCTATATTGTTAATGTTTCATTAAGTGCATAGTTGATTGTTTTACGAAGTAACGGTTCCTGTTGACAAACTTCTAAGTACGAAGTTACTGGTTATTATGTTTTACTATAGAAAATAAAACATTGAATTTTAAAAAAAAATCTTAATTAGTGAATCAATTTTGAATATTGAACTGTTAAGTCAAATTAAAAATTCTAATTCGAACAACGGAGTGGAGTAATTGGTCGGCTGGGTGACTATCAGAAGTTTAGCGTCCCCGACGGAGCGAGACTTGGAAGCAACAAGTGGTCGACTGATGCCTTCCCCGGTAAATGTGCCACTGTTATACGACTTTGCATGCCCGCTTTTGCGGGATTATGTTGCGTTTGGTACGTGCTGCCGTCCCGTTTCGAGTAAATTCGGGATATCTGTTTGTTACCGTTTGTTTATTCGGCATTTGGCCGGTGTCGTTGTTGATTTAGTTTGTATTTTCTCGTATAAAGTTTGCTTTGTTTGCTTTTTTAATTTCATGTGTTTTGTACATTCCATATTTGAATTTTGCGTTGGACAGTGCAAAGAGGGTGGGCGGGGCGGGCGATCGGTTTCTTTTGTTTTAAAAGGTTTCCACGCGCCATCTTAGGTCGATGACAAAAAAGTGTCATGGCGGCTCTTGGATACTAGTTTTGTTCCAGTTTCGGAAGAAAATTTAAAATATCAAATATTTCTTTTTAATTAAATATCTGCCAGTACAATTTCCAAATGTTATCATTTTAATAAATTAAAATTAATAACTATAAAGCAATTAAAAAATATCAACTCGAGCAGGTATTGATATTAAGAAAATAAATAAATTAATAATAAATTAGTTTTCTATTGGGTATGTTAATAAACTAAGAATACCATTTTTTAATATTTCTTTTTTTTTTTGTTTCGTATATTGTATTGTATGTATTTTCAACTAGTAGTAATGACAACCTTATTAAAAAATAAATTTTAATATCAATCTATTGATGAAATATATAACACAGAAAAATAATATTTCAACATAATAATAGTAATCATAAAGAATTAGTTTCAATGAAATCCTTTTTTGTTATTTTTATTCAACCCCAATGCAACCTTAATAAGGTATATACGAATAATTCAAAAACATCTGTTTTTGCGTATAATTTTGTGACATTTTCGATTGTGACAAGCCGTCACGGTTCGGTGGGTGACGTGGGCCGGCTGTCGCACGCACGCGTCTTCGATTCCGCTGATAAAATGTATAAAATAGGCAACG